TCCTTTTTTCTCATGGCTGAATAATGTACCACATCTTCTTTATCCATTCACCCACTGACAGACACTTAGGCTGTTTCCATATCTTGGCTATTGGAATAATGCTGCAGTAAACATGTGAGTGCAGATATCTTGTTTTAATTTCCCTTGGATATATGCCCAGATTGGGATTGCTGGATCATAGGGTAGTTCTATTTTTAATTTTTTGAGGAACCTCCGTACTGTTTTCCATGGTGGCTGAATCAGTTCACATTCCCACCAACAGTGCACAAGGGTTCCCTTTCCTCCACATTCTTTTTTTTTTTTTTTTTAAGATTTTATTTTTCCTTTTTCTCTTAAAGCTCCCCCAGTACATAGTTGTGTATTTTTAGTTGTGGGTCCTTCTAGTTGTGGCATGTGGGACGCTGCCTCAGCATGGCCCGACGAGCAGTGCCATGTCCACGCCCAGGATTCGAACCAGCAAAACCCTGGGGCCCCGAAGCACAGCATGTGAACTTAACCACTCGGCCACGGGGCCGGGCGGGCCCCTCCACATTCTTGTCAATACTTATCTCTTGTCTTTTTGATAATACCCATACTAACAAGTGTGAGGTGATATCTCATTGTGGTTTTAATTTGTATTTCCCTGGTGAATAGTGATGTTGAGCATCTTTTCATTTACCTGTTGTCCATTCATATGTCTTCTCTGGAAAAATGTCTGTTCATTTCCTCTGCCCTTTTTTAAATCAGATAGTTTGATTTTTTGTTATTGAGTGGTATGAGTTCTTTATATATTTTGGATATTAACCCTTTATCAGATAATATAGTTTCCAAATATTTTCTCCCATTCTGTAGATTGCCCTTTCATTTTGTTGTTTCTTTTGCTGTGCAGAAGCTTTTTAGTTTAATGTAGTCCCACTTATTTTTACTTGAGTTGCTTGTGCTTTTGGTATCATATTCAAAAAATTGTTGCCAAGACCAGTGTCAAGGAGATTTTTCCATATGTTTTCTTTTAGGAGTTTTGTGGTTTCAGGTCTTACATTTAAGTCTCTAATCCATTTCAAGTTAATTTTTGTGAGTGGTGTAAAATAGGAGTCCAATTTCATTTTTCTACATGTGGTTATCTAGGTTTCCCAGTGCCATTTATTGAGGAGACTTCTTTCCCCATTGACTATTCTTGGCTCCTTTGTCAAATATTAGTTGACTGTATATGGGGGTGGGGGTATTGTTTCTGGGCTCTCTATTCTGTTCCATTGGTCTATTTTTATACTAGTACTATACTGTTCTGATTACTATAGCTTTGTAGAATAGTTTGAAATCAGAAGGTGTGATACCTCTAGCTTTGTTTTCTTTCTCAGAGTTACTTTGGCTATTCATGATCTTTTGTGGTTCCATACAAATTTTAGGATTGTTTGTTCTATTTCTATAAAAAATGTTATTGGAGTCTTGATAGGGATTGCATTAAATCTATAGATGGCTTTAGGTGGTATGGACATTTTAACAGTTAATTCTTCCGATCCATGAACATGGACGGGATATCTTTCCATTTGTTTGTGTCTTCTTCAATTTCTTTCATCAAAGTCTTGTAGTTTTCAGTGTACAGCTCTTTCACTTTCTTGGTTAAATTTATTCCTAAGTATTTTATTGTTTTTGTTGCTATTGTGGGTGACATCGTTTTCTTTATTTCTTTTTCAGATATTTTGTTTTTCATGTATAGAAATGCAACTGATTTCTGTATGTTGATTTTGTATCCTGCAACTTTACTGAATTTGTTGATTAATTTGAACAGTTTTTTGGTTGAGTCTTCAGGATTTTCTATATGTAAGATCATATGATCTGCAAATAAAGACAGATTTACTTCTTTCTTTCCAATTTGGATGCCTTTTATTTCTTTATCTTTTCTGATTGTCCTAGCTAGGACTTTTGGTACTATGTTGAATGCATGGTGAAAGTGGGCACCCTTGTCTTGTTCCTGATCTTAGAGAAAAAGCTTCCAACCTTTCACCGTTGAATATGATGTTAGCTGTGGGTTTGTTGTATACGGCCTTTATTATGGTGAGGTATGTTCCTTCTGTACACACTTTCTTGAGGGTTTTTATCATGAAAGGATATTGAATTTTATCAAATGCTTTTTCAGCATCTCTTGGGATGATCATATGATTTTTATCTTTCATTTTATTAATGTGCTGTATCACATTTATTGATTTGCAGATGTTGAACCATTCTTGCATCCCAGGGATAAATCCCACTTGATCATGGTGTATGATCCTTTTAACGTGCTGTTGAATTCAGTTTGCTAATATTTTGTTGAGAATTCTTACATCTATATTCATCAGGGATGTTGGTCTGTAGTTTTCTTTTTTTGTAGTGTCCTTTTGTGACTTTGGTGTTAGGGTAATACTGGCCTTATAAAATGAGTTTGGGAGTGTTCGCTCCTCTTGAGTTTTTTGGAAGAGTTTGAGAAGGATTGCTGTTAATTCTTCTTTAAACATTTGGTAGAATTCTCTAGTAAAACCATCCGGTCCTGGGCTTTTCTTTTTGGGGAGGTTTTTGATTACTGATTCAGTCTCCTTACTCATTATTGGTCTGTTCATATTTTCCATTTCTTCATGATTCAGTCTTGGTATGTTGTATGCTTCTAGGAATTCATCCATTTTCTTAATTCTACATGACAGTCGGAGACTTTGGCTACCTGGTAGAGAAAGAGGATGCATTATCGCAAACTGGGAATTCTGAGAGCATCTGCCGAATGATTTGAAAAAGTAATCCCTATTGTCTTTGATGCTCCCCCTTCCACATTAGCATGAATTTTACGTTGTTACTGTTGTGCATGTATATATGTATATGTTTCAGTGTAAAAATATGACAGCCACATTATAGACAATTTAGAAAAGGAAGTAAATAAAAACTATACATAATACTATCTCTTACCTAGTTACTGTTATCATTTTATTTTCTTTGAATTTTTCTCAAAAAGCTCTTTTAAAACATGGTTAATAACTGTATATGTTGTATTTCTATCATTAGCATTTTCCATTTTACTAAATTGTCTTCTATAAAAAGCTGCATAACATTACATCGAGTATACTGTAAATGACCTAAATATTTTCTGTTATTGGATATGTAGGATTTCTCCTCAGCTTCTTAATATTATAATAATGTTGTACTCACAGCTTCATGCACATAGAATTCTTTATATTTTAGATGATTTTCTTAGAGTAGGTTATCTCTTATCTCTTTTATTGCTCTTGTTACATATTTTGAGTGTTTTTCAAGAAGATAGTACTAATTGACAAGATAACTAGCAATGTGTGAAGGACCAATTATGACACATCCTTGAATATTATTTTTTAAACAATTTTACTAGTTTAATTTCAACAGCCTCATTATTTATTTCTTTAATTAGCACCAGCAATTGAATGTTTCAAGTGTATTTACTAGTTGTACTTCTTTCATGAATTGTTTGCCTTTTACATGCTAAAGTCAAGTCTTTATTATTAAAGTCTTGGAGAATTAACTCTAACTTTTTAAAACTTCTACACATATACTTTATATTGAAAAATTGAAACCATATATATGCAAAAAAGGAGAAAATAAAAATTGCTCATATTGCTACCACATAGAAATATGCACTTTGGTATTTTAAGTATATCCTTCTGACTTTTTTTCTATGTGCACCCATTTTTTTTTTTAAATAATCAAATATACCATCACACTCTAACCTACCTTTTTCATTCAATATTCTAATGCCTTTGTATGAAAAATTTAATACATGGTAATTCATGCCCTTTCCTGAAAATTTGAAAAATATGGAAAACTGTAAAGAAGAAAAATTACCTATCTTTCTACCACCCAGAGATAATCCTTGTTAATATATTGCAGTTCTTTTCCATTTTTAATGATTCTATATTTTTCTTCAAAATTGCTATTATTGCTATTATGCTATATATATTTATGATGTTTACTGAATGCTCATATTATTATACCTGTAAAATTTCTTTTTTATGATTGTCCCATAGTCTCATAATTTGTTTTAATATTGTCATGGTCTCAGATGTTTGTTTCCAATTTTCATTATTTTAAGTATTTTCAATAAACCTCTTTTTATAAAAATTTTTGTTATTATTGCTGATTGTTTCCTTATTTTTGTTATTATTGTTGTTTGGTGAGGAAGATAAGCCCTGAGCTAACATCTGTTGCCCATCTTCCTGTCTTTGCTTGAAGAAGATTGTCACTGAGCTGACATCTGTGCCAGTCTTCCTCTACTTTGTATGTGGGATGCCACCACAGCATGGCTTGATGAGTGGTGTGTAGGTCCATGCTCAGGATCCGAACCTGTGAAGCCCAGGCTGCTGAAGCAGAGTGCGCAGACTCAACCACTACACTACTAGGCCAGCCCCTGTTTCCTTATTTATTTATTTATTTGTTTATTTATTTATTGTGGAAGGTTAGCCCTGAGCTAGCATCCGTGCCCATCTTCCTCTACTTTATATGTGGGACGCCTGCCACAGCATGGCTTGATGAGCAGTGCGTAGGGCTGTGCCTGGCATCTGAACCAGTGAACCTGGGCTGCTGAAGCAGAGCACGCAAACTTAATCGCTGTGCCACGGGGCCAGCCCCCACTGTTTCCTTATTTTTAATAGTCTTTTATAAGTGTTAAATATTTAAAGCTTGTCAATATCTATTACCAAATTGCTTTCCAGAAAGGTCATGTACACAGTTTATACTTTTATCAGTTTTGTGCACAGCTCATCACTCCTCACCAACATTGACCATTATCTTGTTTTTAAATATTTGCTAATGTAGTAGTTGAAAAGTGGCATCTCATTGTTTTGATACATCCCTTAAGTGTAAATTCATTAATAAGAATAACAGGATCCCACAAGAACATATTCTAACAAAAGGAAGTAGGCTTTTCCTAATGGGTGGTTGTAACGGTTATAGCTGTGTGAGTGTGAGTGTGTGTGTGTAAGCACAAACACTCCAGTCCTATACCTAAAATAGAACCATTTTTTCCCTAATAGGTCATGGTATCTTGATGGACAAACACTACTAATAATCATTTGCATTGGCATTGTGTTCCCTCTTGCACTTCTTCCTAAAATAGGTAAGTCTTTATAGAAGAGGACATTATTTATGTAGAAGAAAGAAAGAAAGACAATAATGTTAAGGGGCTTTTAAACTTCACAGTACCACATTTTTAGCAGAAGGGTAGTGGTTATGAATAGTTTTGAACTTGGACTTACTTTAGGTTGTTCAGCCTTCAGCCCTCCCTAGTTAACCTATTACTTGGTTTGCTCTAGTATTTTGTCTGCCCAACTAAAATAAAATCTTTACAGCAGAACATTAAAGAGCAGCCTTTCCTTACAGTGTACCATTAGTGGTAAGCCAGTTCCAATTCTGCTGTACAGAGCTACATAAATGATCTGTGACAGATAGTTGGAATGTTGTTATTCTCAACCCTAAGCCCCAGATACCAAGCGCTATAATAGAAAACATGCCCAAGATGTATAGCTTTAGCTCTACGTGAGGATCACTTTCCTTATAAATTGCTTTTTATTTTACTGTTATTTTACAGGCTTCCTTGGCTACACAAGTAGTTTATCATTTTTCTTTATGGTGTTCTTTGCTCTTGTGGTAAGTTTAAAATATAGTGTTTTGCTTATCTCCTCACAAAAATTGAACTCACTGTGTTAATGCCTTTTTCTTTTAACTCTGTTTTGTGTTGGGAAGGCATCCCATTTTCTCTCAGTGTGTGATTAAAAGCACTTTTGTTCCACAAAATCATTTCCTTCATTGTGTCTATTTTGAAGAGGCTTAGCTAGAGCAGTATTTCAAATTCAGTATCTCTTGTGGTTAACTAGAGAGGAGAGCACACCGATTCTGGTAAAACCTTAAACGGAATATGATTCTTCGTGTAGGTATATGTATCAGTTTATTTCTGTACAATGTTGTGTGTGTATGTGTGGAAGAGGTACTCAAGCATGAGAATCAGGCTGGTTTTAATCTGTAAAATCAATTTGATACTATTCATCATAATTTTGAATCTTTGCTCCATTAATGAAACCAGAGCTTCTGGGACTTAACCATTGTGATCCAGTTGGGGTGCCTGAGTTCCATCTGGTCTGCTTTATTCAGCATAGATAAATTCTCGTAAAAAGACTACTGCAAAGAAATGTTTTTCTTCACATGTGGAATGTGGTTTTTTTTCTTATTTTTTAAAATTAACTCATTTTTACTATAACACAGGAAAAATATCTATCAGATGGTAAACCTAATTCATTTTAATATTTATAAAATAATTTAATATAAAGATAAAAGAATTTGAATTTCTGATTTCTTTTAATTCTTCTAAAACAGATTTTAACATCCCAAAGATAGTATCTTTCTGTGAAATTTTGGAAAAAAAGTCCTTTTTCTCTTTGTATAGCAGTTTATTCCAAAGTCAATATCTAAGTGTCAAACCTTAAGTAGGGTTAAACATTTTAAACTTGCCAAGAAGATACATATTTTTTTTTTTTTTTAAAGATTTTATTTTTTCCTTTTTCTCCCCAAAGCCCCCCGGTACATAGTTGTGTATTCTTCGTTGTGGGTTCCTCTAGTTGTGGCATGTGGGACGCTGCCTCAGCGTGGTCTGACGAGCAGTGCCATGTCCGCGCCCAGGATTCGAACCGACGAAACACTGGGCCGCCTGCAGCGGAGCGTGCGAACTTAACCACTCGGCCACGGGGCCAGCCCCAAGAAGATACATATTTTAATAGCTTGATTAAATTCTTAAAATCATAAACTTGATTAAGTTCTTCCTTATTAATGAATGAAAAATAAATGAAAGAAAAATGCCATCCAGGAGAGCAAGACAACACATCAGTAGTTAAACCATATTATAGAGCCAGGTTTCCGAGCTGTCTAAACAGCCTAGGATGCATTTAACTTAGGCTGGACTATCTTCTGGGATACAAGGGTAAAACAAGTTTAGCGTGGGTAATTGAAGTGGAAATGACTCTAGTTTCAGTGTACAGAAATGTTTACACTTTAATGAATGCTCTTAAAACTAAAAATACTTAACAGTGTTCACATTTAATCATTTGTTAGAATTTTTCTTTTTTTTAAAGATTGGCACCTGAGCTAACAACTGTTGCCAATCTTCTTCTTTTTTTTTTCTCTGCTTTTTTTCTCCCCAAATCCCGCCAGTATACAGTTGTATATTTTAGTTGTGGGTCCTTCTAGTTGTGGCATGTGGGACGCTGCCTCAACGTGCCCTGATGAGCGGTGCCATGTCTGTGCCCAGGATCCGAACCAGTGAAACCCCAGGCTGCCAAAGCGGAGCATGCAAACTTAACCACTCTGCCATGGGCCGGCCCCATTTGTTAAATTTATTAACATAAAATCATTGCCCTCCTCCCGAAATTGTCTGACATGTATCTTACAAGTAAGTGAATTGAACATACACTTTTTTTCCAGATTTTTTCTTCCAATTTTTTTGAGATTTAATTGACATGCAGCACTATATAAGTTTAAGGTGTACAGCATAATGACTTCATTTACATATATTGCAAAATGATTACCACCATAAGTTTAGTTAACATTCATGAACATATACTTTTTAGGCTCTACATTGAAGAGGGAAATAAATATTTTCTCCATAATCTGATTGTCGAGAAGCAACTACATGGGTAGGAGTGGCCCACCTACGCAAATGAACATATGGATATTAAAAAGAATCAGTATTGATAACATTGAATTTTTTCCTCACAGACAATTGGCAGTCCAAACATTGCATAGATAGGAGTAATTAGGTTTTATAGCCAATAATTTGAAGCCAGTGAAATGTATTGATATGCTATGTCTATTGTAGTTTTCACAGTATTCGTTTCTGTCATGGCAGGTACCTTAATTTGATGCAGATTTCTACTGTGGCAGTCATATGGAAGTAATGCCCTTATTCTGCATTTGTTGTAATGCTTTACAAACTATCTGCTCGAAGTTTTACCTGTAAGCACACTTTAAAATTGGTCTACAATGGGACAATGAAGAACACTCTGTATACTTTTTTTTAACGCTGTTTTTCATCAGCATATTTATTTTACACTGAGTGTTAGGTTTTAAAATGCATAGTGGTTAAGGAAAGGAAAAACGTATATATTAACCCAGATTTTTTTGAAGGATATCAATTTTTTCATTGATTATTTTCGTCAGTATGTTTGTAAACCTATGTAACAGTTATATTACGTTTTTAAAAAGCAGTCCAGAGAACTATTATTTTCTTAAATTACACTTTTCAAATAATGCAAATCAAAACCTATACTCTTATCTATTGTCCCAGATCCTTATGCTGCATCAAAAATTTTAACAAATTTTTGCCCTCTCTGAAATATCTAAAATTTTAAAAATAAATTTTATTTTAGCAGTGACTCAGAATGACAGCAACCAGATGGATTTACCTTTTTTGGTAAATTTACCTTTTTTGGCCCATTTTAGGACACAAACGTATTGCCATTCTTTCCAAAAGTTCTGTCTTGAGTATAGATTAGTATTCTAAGTAATGTTTTAATAAGTCAAAATAGAATTATTTGAATGGATTTTGGTCAGAGCTTCCTTCTAGTGAGCACCGTGTTAGGCCTTATACGGTGGGGGGAGTTGAACCTGGACACTAGGTTTAAGGATCTGTCAATCTAGTAGAGGAGATAAAATAAATGTACGAGGGGAAAACTGAGAACAATATAGGCAATACGTAACCAAGTGTTGACGTATTTGCTTCAGAGTAAGAATTGCAAGAGTTGAGAGGAAAGAAGGATCACTGAGAGCTAGAATAAAGAAGGATGTGGAAGGAAATAAAACTTGAGCTGAGCCTTGAAAGGTGGGAAGGACTTGGAGCAGTGAAGAAGGAAGGGCCTTTTCTGCAAGAGAACACGTATTTTTAATACTTAGTCTTACTTTTCCCTTTGTTTTTCTAACCCCTGGAGTTACCTTCTACCGTGTTCTGTCTTCAGCCTGAGCGAAGACTCTTGTTACTCTTTGTTGTTGTGTATCTTTCCGTTCCTGTTCTGTACTTGCGCTTTGTAGGACATCATCTCTATCCAAGCCATTCCACCAGGCAGGCTTGGGGTTGGGCCAGGTCTCTGCGGAGAAATTAGCTGTAGTAACCGAATTTTATATTAATGTAAAATCAGGTTGTTAGTGATATTTTCTAATTAGCGAAAAACTAATGATTATATTGCATTTTGGAGTGTTGTTTTGACTTTTTTTTTTTAATTGGCACCTGAGCTAACATCTGTTGCCAATCTTTTTTTTTTCTTCTTCTTCTGCTTCTTCTTCTCCTCCCCGAAGCCCCCCAGTACATGGTTGTATATTCTAGCTGTAGGTCCTTCTGGTTGTGGCATGTGGGACGCTGCCTCAGCGTGGCCTGAGGAGCAGTGCCGTGTCCGCGCCCAGGATTCAAACCGGCAAAACCCTGGGCTGCCGAAGCAGAGCGCGCAAACTCAACCACTCGGCCACGGAGCAGACACCTGTTTTGACATATTTTGATTTGCAAGCCTAGTAATGACAGCTGATAAAACAAATGAGGTAGCTCACATACAGAGCTTATCGAAGTACACGGTACGCAAGCCCTCCGTTAGGTGGCTGTCGCTGCCACCACTACCACTGTTAGTAAGGGGAAGTGTGAGACACTGAATTTGAGGCAGGGCTGAAGAGAAAGACCAGTAACAACCTTGCTTCTCTAGCTTCTACCTCATGCCATCATACTTTTTTGAAAACATCAGAAAAAAAAAATGGTGGGATTTTTGCTTTTGATTTTTTTCTTTCTTCTTGCTAAGTTGACCATTTAGTTTTATTCCATATTGAAAACTTATGTATAAGTGACAAAACCACTTGCCCATTTATCCTTCTAATTCTTTTTTCTTGATAAGGGTTTTAATTAAGAGTAATTAGTTCAATCACTAACTTAATCCTAAAAGTCTGTGTTTTCCTTAGATGTTTTATCACTATATAAAATTTTGATTGACTTGGTTAAAATCCAAAACTAGATAAATACTGAATAGGAATAGGAATAGTATTTACTTACTGTCTCCTGCAAAGGACATATACTTTCTTTATTCTTCTTGCCCCTTTGTACGTTGGGTTTTAGCTTGGAGCAAACATTTACAGAGTAATTACGTACCCTGAAACAATGACAACAATGGCAGTGTGGGCACAACCACAACTGTAGGTCTAGGAACAGGATGGGTGCAATTAAGAGTAAAATCCTAAAGCATTTGCATTGATTATTTCTGGGAAATAGCATCCCTCTGGATTTCTTTCAATTTTCTTAAAATTTAGTTTCACCAACTGGAGTTCCCCAGCTTTGTGCTCTTATTCTTAGACAGCTTTTCCATATTCACCAAAAGTAACTATACATCTGAGAAAAACAAGGAGGGACAGCACTTATACATCAGAAATCCCTGAGCTCCCCCTTTGCATAAGGTCTCTACTTATTTTTGCCTGTGGCCATTTCCAAAACTGCTATTAATGTTTCTCTGCTACTGATGCTAGATCCACAAATAACCATATTCTGTACCATTGTCACTAAAAACATCATGTTCTCATTTTAAGTTGCCCTTTTTTGGGTAAATGCTGTGATGCTATTGGAATTTTGAAAGTTGACATGAAGAGTACTCTGTCTTTAACGGGGAAGATCCCTGCTAAACAGATACACGGCAACTCCTCCCGTCCTGCCCTCCTGGCCATAGGTGACCAAATTAAATGATGACCCCATTCTCACTGGGGAAAATCATATGAGCAAAGAATCTTCCTAGGTTTACCTAGCATATTTTTGGTATAGTGTTAGATTAGTTGAAATAATGCTGACCTATTTGAAATCTATTTCTTGTCATGAATTTTGTAAGAAATAATCTGAGTGCTGTTTCTACTTATTCTTACAGATAGTAATTAAAAAATGGTCCATCCCTTGTCCTCTGACATTAAATTATGTAGAGCAATACATCCAGGTAACGGTTTATATTTTCTTCCTTTTTATTGTAAGCTAAAAAGAAAAAAAATCAGACTAATAATGATTTTTTTTCTAATTAACAAAAAAGTAATGGCTGTATTTCATTTTGGAACTCTGTTTTCAAATATTTTGACTTGAAAGCCTAGAAATAATAAATTCATCATTTTTGTTGATGTATTCTGACTTTTAATGGCTCTTGGTTTCTCTCTTTCCCCTCAATTCTCTTAAACAGATTTCAAATGCGACAGATGATTGTAAACCAAAGCTCTTTCATTTCTCCAAAGAGGTGTGTAAGTTATTAACAGATACTTTTGGTTGATTTTTCACATTTCAAGTTTTAAGAGATTTGTGTAACAGGGTCTCTTAGGTCTTTGTACCTGTAACTAATTAATTTTCATGAAAGTGCTAAGTATAAGGTTGCCTACCAGAAGAATAATATTATTTAACACAGGGTGGCCCATTATGAAACAACCACCTTTTTTTTTTTTTTTTGGCATGGCTTTAAAAATAGAGCCTGTTTTAAATGGGCCACAGCCTAAAAGAACAGATTTACTGAATGTCTGGTCTGGCCAATAAGGTCCTCTGTGGATACAGACTTCCTGTTGCCCTCTGGACTTGTAAAGCTAAATAGCCAATTATATCAAAAACTCCTTCCCTGTGAGTAGAACCTTGGTCTCTAGCTAAACAGCTTCATCATTGGACCAGTGATTGAGCACAGCCAATATGTCTTCTGGCTGACATTCCAAAGTTGAAATTTATGATGCCTGGAGTGGAGACTAGCAGACCAAGTCCCCTTGCCTTCTCGAAGAGCCCTGTGATACTAGAAATGCCTGCAAGAGCCCCTGGGCATCAGCAGAGGAAGCAGGAACTTGATCTGGATGATCTCTCCTTGACGATTATAGAAGAGCTCAGAATCTTTCCTGTTGCTGCAAGTTTCTTCCTCTACACTTGATTCTGCTGAAACACAGGTCCCAGATGCTAGAATCCCCTCCACTCATGTCCAACTCTGTTAGTGTGGTAACTCCTCTGTGCAGAGTTTTCCTTTTTATCCCCGGTTTTTAAATGAGAAATGTCTCTAGCCTCACTAGGGAGGTTACCACATCTTTTCCATGGTAAAGGCCTACCTGTGCCTAAAAGATCTAGGTAGGGTAATTGACAAGCCAGGAAACTGAGCAATATATGAAAGAGAGTTTGTGAATTAAACTCTCATTCCCTTAATCCAGTCTCAGGAAACACTAAAGCTTTCCTCCCTCCCTGCTCCCCTCAGATATTTTAGGAGGCATTATGTCCCAAGATAGGTCTTCACTCATCTACAAGTTCTTTTGCTGAAGAGCCTAAAATTAGTTAGGGGGAATTTTTTTTTAGAGTAGGAAAGAGAAAGTAAATCATCACCATCTATTTTGTAAAGATAGTATTTTCATTTAGATGGTAACTTTTGTTTGCTTTGTAATTTCCTTGGCCTCTTGCGTAGCCTAATAAAATTTTAAAAAACACAAACCTTATGCTGTGTAGTCCAATGGATCTCTAAGAATTTGTCAGTCTAGAATAAGTCATGTTCTTTCCCATTGAAAGAGATCCCAGTCAAAGATGCCGGCAATACTAAGATGAGGTTAATGTTTTCAGTATTCTCTTGGAATGAGTTGGTAAAAGCAGCTTCAAAAGCATTAACTATTATTACTGCTTAAGGTAATATGATGTATTTAAGTTTCGTAATGCATACATTAGGAAAGACTGAGAATTACAATAAGATCATTTCCAAAATGTTATTTTTAATCTTACCTAAATATTATTTATCTTAAATTATTTTTATCTTACTCAAATAATATAGAAGAATCATTGATTGTAGTAAAAGCAACATGGTATGGAAGCTATAGTACAAGCAAGTACACTGTCAAGTGGAACATTTGCTGGTGACCAGAATTATGTCTCTCTTTAAAAAAAAAACACACATTTTATAAAGAGATAATTCATGGAAGATGAAATACATTAACCAATTGATTGTTGTTGAAGAAGTGAGTTTATTGTCAAATGAAGTAGTGGTTTCAACAGAGTAGCATTTAATAATTTCATCTTTTTGAATGGATAAAGAAGTTGTGGTACATATATACAATGGAATACTACTCAGCTGCAAAACAGAACAAAATCATCCCATTTGCAACAACATGGATGGACCTTGAGGGAATTATGTTAAGTGAAATAAGCCAGTTAGAGAAGGATAATCTCTGTATGACTCCACTCATATGAGGAATTTAAAAATGTAGACAAAGAGAACAGATTAGTGGCTACCAGGGGAAAGGTGGGGTGGGGAGTGGGCACAAAGGGTGAAATGGTGCACCTACGACACGAATGACAAACATTAATGTACAACTGAAATCACACAAGATTGTAACCTATCATTAACTCAATAAAAAAAATAATAATAATTTCATCTTTTAAAATTTTTTTCAGAGTGCCTATGCCATACCAACCATGGCTTTTTCATTTCTCTGCCATACGTCAGTATTGCCCATATACTGTGAGCTTCAAAGGTACTATAGAATTCTGGAGTATTTTAAATGTATTATGTCTTTTTACTTCCAGGGCTTTCAAATTGAATGAAATTCTCCTTTATGAATTCTTTCCTCCCATTACTGGATTCTAAGTGTTAGTTTAAAACAAAATAAAACAACCAAGAGTTAGTTCTGTCCAAGTTGAGAATGTTTCCTAGAAGTGTAACATTTGTGCAGTAATTTCAAATAAGGAACGCTAGTGTGTAGTTGTTAATAAACTAGGTCTTGAGTGACTGAGGGATCCTCTTGACTAGCTTAGGAGATACTTCTTTCTTTAGATATAATTCAGATCACTGATTCTATTTTTGCCATTTTTGTCTTGTAGCCCTTCAAAGAAAAGAATGCAGAATGTAACCAATACAGCAGTTGCTTTAAGTTTTCTCATTTATTTTGTATCTGCACTCTTTGGATACCTCACTTTTTATGGTAAGTATATTATTTAATTGTAAATGACAAAGTAAATTGTTCTATAGTTGATCTCACACCTGAGTATGGACTTTGTTTCTGCTTTGCATTACCAAGCTAATTTTTTCAGGCTGCCAGAATTCAATGCAGTACATACTGTGGTGGCTCTATGGACCTTAAAAAGATTGATTTTCTTTCTCTTATAAAGGTGGATCAAGTTCATATGAAAATTTTCTTAAACGCCTACCTTAGTAAAACCTCAGGCTTAGGGACATTGATGGCTTTCTACAAGAAAAAATGTGCAATAATGATTTTAATTTTTTTAATTGAGAATTCGATGTATTAGACTCTAGCACTTTGAGAGGTCGAGAGAATCAATCATTTTAATTGCAGAAGAACAAGTTGAGAAAGGGAAGGGTTTTACACTGGACTACAGTTGTACACTTAGATGTCAGAAATTTCTGCCTTCAGACTTAATCCACATGATTCAGCAGATGTGCATTCTGTGATGCACCGTGACCTTTCTCCTTAATTTTTTTAGAAGATTCTTTTAAATTCATAAAACAAAGGTAAAATTTTATTTTACTTACTTTTGAAAAATTGCCTGCTGGGTGTGCATTTTTTTCTCTTCTCATAAGTACCTCAAGAAAATGTAAAACTTGAAAGTCTAGAACAAGAAAAAAAATTGTAAGCTCTCTTGTAATTTGCAAACATACTTGCTTAATTTGCTTAATTGCATTAATTAACTTGCTTAATTGCAAACGAACATGTTATAACAAATTACACTCAATTTGTCAAATTCTTGAATACACTTTTCAGTTTATGAATGCTTTCATAACAACTTTCCAAGTAAATGGCTGTTATTACTTTGCTGATATTTAGCTGTCATGACCCTGATTTCATGGTTGATAGCCTGTGCACATGTTTCAGGTTTAAGACAACCAGGATGACTTGAAATGGCGCTTTGCTTATCTCCCAGAGTTTTTCCAAGTCTGACAAGGTTTTGGACAACATTTACTTGCACAGCTACCTTTCCTAAGTCTGGTGGAAAGAGTATGAATTTTGAAATCTGACAAATGTGGTTCAGATAACTACTCTAACTAGCTGTGTGCCCTTGAACAGGATACTTCACCATGCAGTATCTTTGCTTCCTAATCTGTAACATGGGGCTAATTGCATAGAGTTGTATGGAGGAGGAAATGACTTACATGTAAGATGCCTATTATAGTATCTGGCACATAGCAGTCTTCACAAATGAGAGCAGCTGGTGGTGTGTCACTATTATCATTATCATTATTATTGTAATTATTTCATAATTTCAGTTGCCCTATTTTTCATCACTGTACTTCTCTTCTTACTATCTTTAATGAAATTTAATTCAAATGTGGTAACTTTTCAGTATATGCTGTAAGTATTATCTTGGAGTTTTTAGTGTGTGAGAAAACTGTAATTATCCCTTTCTTGCTGTCTCTGTGTTGTTTCAACAGTAATAAAGGCCATTCATTAATCCACATCTGCTCCCGCATTTTTATGCTGATGTAGTATCCTACATGGTAGAGCCCTGTGTACACCATCAGGAAAATCATCTTCTCCAACATGAGTGTGTTACCCTGCTTGATACGCTACACAGAAAGTTAAAGCAGATTGTTAAATTTTTTTGATCATCACTAATGAAACAAAATTCTTTAAACACGTAAGCTCTGTTTTTGGTTGTTGGGTTAGTTTTTGTACAGACTTGAGCTCAATAAGACTTTTCTATATTAATAAGGTATTATAGCAGGGTCTCTGTTAGGATTAAGCAAAAACTTAGTATAGCAAAATAGCTGTCTATTTTTCTAAATTAAAATTGTCACCTGGCACAAATACTATTAATTTAGGAATCTTCAACATTGCGAGAGTCCTAAAAATGGACGTCCTCCTCCATATGGATAAATAGAGCTATCTGGAAGAAATCTCAAATGGCCTACCAATCTCCAGGATAGCTGAGAAATAATTACATGAATTCCATGAGATATGCTTAAGAACTATATTAAATTGTAAGAAAGCTTTGATTGAAAGGGGAGTGGAGGAAGGATGGATGCTAATGCGTTTATTGAGCTAACTTTTGTTACGTAAGTACCAGGTATTTTACATACATTGCCTAACTTAGTCCTTGCAGCAACTCTGCAAGGTACAGATTCATATAGTTTGAGTAATTTGGGCAGATACCTGCAGCTAATGAATAATGAATTGGGATTTGAATCCAATTCTGACTTTCTCCGAAATCAGTGCCTTTATTACTACGCTCCCTCCTCAAGAATCATGCTATAGAATCCACATTTCCTTCATTCCAAGTTTTTGTCAAAGTTAACTTTTGAAAAAACTTGGATCACTTAAGCTCCAGGCACATCTGTATATCTCTATATCTATCTATCTATCTATCTATCTATCTATCTATCTATCTATCAATCATTGTTTGAACACAGAGGCTAAACATGTTTTTCATCCTATAAATGAAGTGTTTCCTACACAGAGATTTTCCTAGTTATCAAGTAAAGCTGTCACCTGGCACAAATACTATTATGTTTTGAGTCTTCAACATTTAGAAAAAAATCCAAAAAATTTGTCTCTGACTTAATCCTTCTCCACCAATGCAAATGCATCAGAATGTCCACATTTTCTATAATGGAGAAATACACATCAAAGAAAAATCACATGGTAAATAGGTAGGTGATGGATAAATAGATAGAAAGAATGATATAAAAGTGATTCCTTCTCCAAAGACAGAGGAAGATTCAGATATTGATTTGCTATTCACAAATCAATCACAGTGGTTCTTTTCTGGGGTTTTAATCATAACCAAGGGACATTTTTATGGCATATTTCTATTGGGATAACAGTAGCTCTCAGTTTTATGGAAAGAAATTTCTAGTTGAAGCTGAGACTTTATCAGAAGGGCTAGTCAGAAGTTAAAGGCTTCAACTCATTTTGTAGATAAGTAACTGAAGCCCAGAGAGGTGAAGTGACCTGTCACACACTTAGTGGCAAGTCTCCTGAATACGAATCCAGTGATCTTTCTGCTGTTCCATGGTAACCTTTATAAACTTCATACCCTGTTTGACAGTATATTACACAGGACAGCCTCCTGGCTTCAACAGCATGTACAACTTGCAGAGATCACCATCAGGTCCTTCCTGAGATTTGTAGAGATTTGTCTGAATCTAGAGAAGTGTGTTATACTCTATCCCTTACATATGTTAAGGCTCAGCTAAGAACACAGAATTCACTGGCTCAGAAGAAAGGTTTTCATCCTGGGAAAGTAGGAAGTGGACATGTAACAGATAGTTTGAATTTGTAATAAATCTAGTGCTTCTGGCTTCTGGAGCTGCTTGGAATCCTTTTATCCAGTGCTCCCAAAGCTTAGTTAATAATATAAATTTTGTCAGATTAAAGGGACCTATAAGTACGTATACCTAGATTAATAATAATGTTTCTGATTACAGATGTTAAAGCATTGTAAGGTGAGGGAGAAAAAGTGTTCCTCTGGTGAGCCAGGTCAATGCCCAACTGTTGCCTAATAACTAGACCATTTAAAAAGTCTACAAAGTTATTAAGCAGTAAGTGTTAATAGCTCATTTTTAATGATTCAGAAAGTAGAAATAAAATAGTTTGCTGTATTTCTCCAAAGACTCACAAGTATCTCACAGATTTGGAAATAGAATCCAGCTTTCCTGACTCCTCTTCATCTCTTGCTTAGTCCATTAGTCCCACATTGTATAAAGTATGTCTTTGATATTTTAGACAGTTTCTCTCCCATTTCCATTATCACTAGTCTAGTTCATATTCTTGTTATATTTCAGTGATTATGACAGTAGCCTTCTAACTGTTACCCTGTTTGGGGTCTCTTTTTCTTCCAATCTGTCCTCCTACTCAGTTCAGATGATAATACATTATTCTTCATAAGTCACTGCATCTCTGTGGCCTACCGGATTGTGTCCAGACTCTACCGGATTGAGTCCAGAAGAGCTCTATTACTGGGTCTTAAAGGCATTGCCAGCCTTATCACCCACTCCTCTCTGCTCTACAGCCCACTATATCTCAGCATTATAGTACCACTGACTGCTCATTTTCTCAAATGCACATTCCCTTTGCTACTTTAGGCTTCTGCTTATGCTGTTTCTTGCTCCTAGAGAGAATCTCTTCCCCCACATCTTTGAATGTCAGCATGCGTACATTAACTCACTTAATGCTCTCAGTAACTATAGGTCAATATATTGTTGTCCCCATTTTATAGATGTAAGAACTGAGAGACTCAGAGAAGTTAAGTTGCTAGTAAGTAGTGGTATTGGAACATTAGTCTGTGTGGTCCCAGAGTTCAAGCCCCTCTACCATCCTGCTGCTCGCTAGATCGTGATGACTCCCCCAAGCCTTCCTGGACTCCCTCCCTGCTCATCCCAAAACCATAGTTACCTTTCCCTGTTCGAATCGCCATAGCTCTTTGTTTAGACCTTCTGCCACTGTATGTGTATCTGTGTGTTTTGTACTATATGTGTGTGTTCACCGTATCTCCCCTTAAAATTTTAAGATCCTTGAAAACAGAGGTGTGTTTGATTTGTTTTTTATTTCCTCCAAAGCATCTTTTTCAAAACATATACCCTCAAATGAAAAAGCCCCATGCTATTTTAAGTACAACCTGACCTTTCCTTACGAGGCAGTGATATGGAGTGTTCTTGAGAACCCTCACTCTTCAGACCCCTCAGGGAGAGGTATGAAGGTGAGAATGGAAAAACACCATGGAGCAAAGCATGGTCAACTGTCACTGTCACTGACTACCACACTGGCTTGCTAAGTAAGCCATTTCCCTAAGACTGCATTCTCTTTTATGGAAGATGAATCTACACATGCAGAGTTGATGAAGCAGGTAACATGCACAAAACTCTATGAGATTCTAGACAACATTGTGGTATTGAAGGAAAGGTATCAGCTTTGGCACCAAAAAAATTTGGGTGCACAGCCTGCCAGCTCTGCCCCTTTGTGTTGTGTGATCTTGGGCAAGTCTTTTAACGTTTTTTGCCTAGCTATATATCTTATATTGTTATCATGAGGACTAAACTCAGTAGCACATGTGAAAGCACTTTGTAAAACAACATAAATGTTGTTCAAAACCTTCAGATTATGGAAAAGCTCTAAAGAGATATTTTTATATATATATTCATTGTCGTAATTTTAGAGGCTCTGCCTGTGCTGTTTTCTGGTTTCATTAAAGAAAAAGATTGTAGGGACCAGCCAGTGGCCCAGCAGTTAAGTTTGTGCACTCCACTTCAACAGTCCAGGGTTTCGCGGATTTGGATCCTGGGCGCAGACTTGGCACCGCTCATCAGGCTATGCTGAGGCGGCATCCCACACAGCACAACCAGAGGCACTCACAACTAGAATACACAGCTATGTACTGGGGGCTTTGGAGAGAAGAAGGAAAAAAAAAAAAAAGAAGATTGGCAACAGATGTTAGCTCAGGTGCCAATCTTAAAAAAAACAAAAAACAGATTGTAGGTTTCAAGAAGATATTTAAATATCTCTTATGTTTCGTAAGATAGGAAAAAGGACAGAGAGACATTTAGTGCTGGGATTCTAAAATCTGTTAAGATCCATTTGTGCAAAGGAAAATAATTTTGCTGTTATTGACATCTTAGTAGTTTATAATGTGATCTTTATTACTATATTTTTATTAACAGACAAAGTGGCGTCAGAATTACTACAAGGCTATAGTAAATACCTGCCGCATGATGTTGTTGTCATGACTGTGAAGTTGTGCATACTGTTTGCTGTGCTTTTGACAGTGCCTCTAATCCACTTCCCTGTAAGTACTCTTAAAGGTTTTGTTGCTTAGTGTAGTGGCTCCCTAATAGGGCAACACTAATTCTTTGCAGACTAGAATGTTTGAATCACATCTAGTCTTGTATATCTTATTCATTTGTCAAGTAATTGATCAAAGACCTCATACTTGCACACTGGCCCCATGAAAGCACAGAAATAACAGTGAACCACTAAGCTAATTTGTGCTTTTTGAGATTTAGTTTAGATTTATGCTCTCCCACAGCATTGTTTCCAATTTAGAGACTAGAGTTCTTCTAAAGTTTTGGGGTTTTTTTTCTCCCCTTTAATTTTGTATTCTGTTTTCAAAAGAATGTGCATGAAGAGGAAAAAGTCAAGTCAGCAAAAATAAGCTCTTTCTGGTTTATTGTAAATTTGTTTTCACATAGACATTCTAGTTTAATTTTAGTCAAAATATTTTATTTGCTCTAGATTTATAACTTGAGGCACAACCGATCTCATTCTGCATTTAGCTGCCATACATAAGAATCTTAAGAATTTTTGAGAAAATGAAACAAGGGCTTTGAGTAATAAATGCTTCTGCATGGATTTTTGAATCCCTAACAGTGAGTTCCTTAAGAACTGGGCCTTCAAGATTTTTTGCCTCCTCCCTGTGCGGACTGCAGTGCCAGGAGTGCAGGGGGGCTGGATAAACATTTATGGGACGTGACTGCCTGCTGCCTGCGTTAGCAGTGAGAAGTGTCATGAACTAGTTTTCATATTAACATGCTGTGAAATAGATAAATAAAATCGTAAATGGTGTTCCCATGGCATGATTTCTTTTTCTGTTTTAAACCTTTTGTTCTTCTATCTGTTGAATTTAATGAAAATGATTCTCTGAAATTTCATCACAATGTGCTATTGTGGATAATTTTGAAAATTATGCACCCTAAAGAAATTGCATGTGAAAATTTTTTCAAGAATTAAAGCAAAATAATTTTTATGAAGCTCACAGAGAAAGGTATATTTCTTAGTTTATGTGTAATGAGCACTTTATGGTAATAGTTTATGGTATACTTTTGGATTCTAAATTGTTTAGAGGGCAAGAATACCATACTTACTGTATTGTACATGTGTTTCCCTAAGTGAGTGTTTTTACTTTGACACTTTCTCTTTGCTTAAATCTGTTTCTTTTTCTGTTATACAGGCAAGGAAAGCTTTAATGATGATGTTTTTCTCCAATTCTTCATTCTCATGGATTCGCCATTCTTTGATCACTCTAGCACTCAATATTATCATCGTTTTACTTGCGATATATGTTCCTGACATTCGGAATATATTTGGTGTGGTTGGTAAGTTTTCCATTTCAAAAAATTCACATCATAAAATGGATAAAATTGTCCTCCAGCCTCACATCTGAATCTAGCAATGTCTTCTTTTTCCTCCTCCCACTTAAAGGTTCCAGTACATCGACGTGTTTGATTTTTGTATTCCCAGGACTGTTTTATCTTAAACTTAGCCGAGAGGACTTTCTCTCAGGGAGAAAGCTTGGGGTAGGTTGGTTTTTGTTTCTTTTAGGAATGCTATTTTAAGAAATAATTTGTCATTTTATCATTATTTCATCCACTCCAAGAAATTTAATGTATTTTGAACTATAACATACATTATTGGAGAGGGTGGAGGTTTAACAACGTACTCTAACTGTTCTTTTTCTCTTTCCTTATTTCCACAGGCTTTTGTTTTGCTCATCTTTGGAATTTTGGTTGGGAATTTTAGTTTAGCACTCATCATTTTTAATTGGATTAATAAGTGAAAGACATATTTTCCTGCTTCTTATGAAGACTAATTTACCTCCATATGCAAAAAGGAATAATTCTGGAAGCCACCTTGGATGAATTCTCTTTGTGTGGGTTAACATTTTTGTAAACATTATTAATAGGAAAGTGGAACAAAATGGGAGTGAGTAGAGGAAAGTGAGCTCATAGCAATTTTAATCAAAATAAGAAAGAAACTCAAAATGCTCAGGTCAGTCTTTCATTTGTGGGTTTATTTTTTTTAAAAAATCAATAGACTTTATTTTTTAGGGAAGTTTTAATGTTTACAGAAATATTGAGCAAAAAGTACAGAGAGTTCCCATATATCCCCTCACCCCCAGCACACCTGTACTTACCCATATTATTAACACCTTTCATTAGTGTAGTGCATTTGTTATTCTTGATGAGCCAGTATTGATACATTATTATTAACTGAAGGTCCATAGTTTACATTAGGGTTCACTCTTGCAGGCATTGGCAACCACTGATGTTAATGTCTCCATAAAAACTATGAGCTTCTCCCTATGAGCCTTTTCCAGAATGTCACATAGTTGGAATCTTATAGTATCTAACTTTTCAGACTGGCTTCTTTTACTTAGCAATATGCAATTAAGTTTCTTTCATGTCTTTTCATGGCTTGATAGCTCATTTCTTTTTATTACTGAATAATATTCCATTATATGGATGTACCACAGTTTGTTTTTCCATTCACCTGTTGAAGGACATCTTGGTTGTTTCCAAATTTTGACACTTATGAATAAAGCTACTATAAACATTTGTGTGCAGGTTTTTGTGTGGACCTAAGTTTTCAGCTTTTTTGGGTTAATACCAAAGAGCACAATTGCTGCGTCGTGTGGTAAGAATACATTTAGTCTTGTAAGAAACTCCTGAACTGCCTTCCAAAGTGGCTATAATATTTTGCATTCCTGCCAGCAATGAGTGAGAGTTCCTGTTCCTCATCCTTGCCAGCATTTGGTGTTGTCAGTGTTTTGGATTTTTGCCATTCTAATGGGTGTGTAGTTGTATCTTGTTTTAATTTATATTTCCCTAATGACATATAATGTTGAGCATCTTTTCATATGCTCATTTGCCATCTGTGTATTTTCTTTGGTGAGGTTCAGATCTTTTGCCCATTTTTTAAATTGGGTTGTTTTCTCATTGTTGAGTTTTAAGCATTCTTTGTATATTTTAGATATCAGTCCTTTATCAAGTATGTGTTTTGCAAAGATTTTCTCCCAGTCTGTGGCTTGCTTTTTCATTCTCTTAACAGTGCCTTTCACAGAGCAGAAGTTTCTAATGTTATTAAATGTATTGAGTCAATCTTTTGTTTGTTCATTTGTTTTTTAAGAAATCAGTGTATTAAGTTTATATACAAACTCCAATCTTAGCTTGTGGGTTAATGTTGTCAACATCAATCACTAATAACAAAATTGTGGATTTTGCCCTGCCTTCAAATCCTAAGAAACTTTTGTGATTTTCCTCTGTTATTCATTATGAGATAGAGCTGTGATGATTGACTGTGGATTTTAAAAGTTCTCTGAGCTTTCTCCGTTTGTCTCTAAAACATGTGACTTTCTACTTGGCTAACAGAGACAAATGCTGATGGTTTATATCATATTTTGTTTGGAGGTTATAAATCATTCCAGTCTTCCCATTGATGTGGCTTATTTTTGGTTGGAAACCAGAAGCGAGGTCTCTTCTCCCTATGAGTGTTCTATGTAAAGGGCAGTTGGTTAGCAGCCTACCAAAACCAGGGTGTAGCAGTAAAAATGCAATCTTATCCCTCTGCACATGTAAAATAGGGAATTGCATGCAAAGTGCCAATTTGCATGTATGGAAATACACACTTTTGCAGGTGTCCCTTTTCTTCCCATTTAGCAAATGGCCTGAAAAATTGATAACTGAACTTCTCTTTTGAGTTAAGATACTTCTTTAGCAACCTGAGATCAGCACAGTTTTATGGAAAAAGTCCAAGGTTTTGGGTTAGAGAGACTTAGATTCAGATCTCAGTGAGTTTAGGCAAACTACTTAACCTCTCTAAGCCTCTGCTTTCACATAGGTATTACACAGAGTTAATACCAATTATACAGGGTTGCGTTGAGAAGATTAAATGATCTTGTATAAATTAGGTGCAGACCGAAACATGTCTCTCTTAATAGAATAGATATTTATCCCTTTCTCCCATCCCTTCATCTGGACCAGTAACATGAATTTGCTTTCAATCAGGGACATAGAATTTTTTCATCTTCCATCTTGTACAACTAATATGTTTAGAATCTCTCTAGCCTTTACTCACAGGGGTACTGGCCCCATGTGCGCTCTTTTTAGTGCTTTCCCACAGTTCTACCCCAGCTGTATTATCCTACTAAGGCCTTCCTGAAACTGGGCACTTAGCATGGTCCCAGGGGCACAGCCAGGCCTGGCCTCCTATGTGGCTTTAGACCAGCGAGAGCCCATCACTCTGATAAGCTAATTCTTGTACCCTCTTTTTCTATTTATGAAATTATAGATCCAAATACAAATAGGTGTTCAGCTGCTTAAGTAAATCTAACTCCAGTAATACCAAAATAACCCTAAATCTGCAACAGATGCAAGGATGCCCCCTGGGGCAAATGTTAAGTGTGATGACAGCTGGGCATCAATTAATACATTTGTCACCTGCTCATGGGATAGGATCCTGGGAGGTTTGGCAAATGGACAAGTAACCTATTGAACACTCTGCACAAAACTTAGTTAATATCAAGAGGAATCATTTGTGGAGGTGTTCACTTTTATTTTACTTTAATATTCCACCTTATCCCGTTGCCTGTTTGGAGTCACAGCTTCGCCTGTGAGTTTGGAGGAAGCTAACGAGATGGCTGGTGAGAGCAGTGCCCCCTCCACCAGGATTACCCGAAAATCTTGTTCCAGTGCTCCTCAGCATTTCCATGGGAAATAGAGACCTTCTCATTATGGGCTTAATGTTCACAATTTATTAGGTAATAACTATTGAAAATAAAACTAAGTAAAGCACAAAATATATACTTTTCTAACACTTGGAGACTTGTTTGCTAAATTAAAAGACGAAGTGCTGAGAATATAAATTACTTTCATATGTGGAGGGTGAATGTTTAAATTGTACTTTTTTTTTAACAGAATGTTTACTCATGAGCTTAGCATTTAAATGGTTAAAACAAGCCTTTGAAGTTAACACTCCATTAAGATGAATGGGGGTAATTCACACCTCTGCTGGTGCTGTATTATTTCAGTCTGGCTGCGGAGAAAACAAGACAGCAGTACGTTGATTTACTGTGTGAAGGTTCTTTAAACACCCAAGGTCTGGAAATCTTTGTTTTCTGTTGTTTTTTTTTTTCTTTTCCATCTTGAAGTAGAATCTGAAATTCAGCACAATCTAGCTATAGAATTGAAATCTTGAAAGTACCATAGATCCTCAACTATCTGGCAATCCCTGCCTGGCATTGGATGGGTAGCACGTTGCCAGATCAGCAGCTCTCTGGCTGTGTTTGCTGCTGTACTCCAGTTTTTCTTCCTACCATGGCACCATTTAAATTTCAGTTTAGTACCCTGGTGAATTCACCACTGGAAAATCAGAAACAAACCATCCGTTTTCAGGTGAACTTTACACATGCTTTTAAATGGGTTATGAGCTAATCATCGGCCTTCATGTGCTCTTAGAAACAATTTCATCTTTGCAAAATCTCATCTTCTATGTTTGCCTACATATAAAGTATCTGCCTTTAAGAACTTTTGATTCTTCCCCATATTTGGGGGGTGGAGGTGGTGAAGTGAGCAGAGATCAGTTGGGAAAGATTCATTTCTTCCTCAGTATGTCTTTTCCACCAGTACTCTTTTGTCATTGAAATGTGTATTCCACCATTGATGGAAGTGTTACAGCCATTTGACCCTGAAAAGATTCATTTTAGAGCCTGAGAATAAGGTTATGTGAGCACGGGGGAAATGGTGAGCATTGTATGAGACGTAAACAAATTTGGAAGATCTCTTTTACGGTGGACAGATTTTTCTCTTCTCCATTGTCTGCCCTGTGTATTTGCAGGATCAGGTTACTAGATAATCTGCGAGTAGCTGGGTGTGGACAATATTTCCATTTGGGCTGTCTCTAGTGCTGACATTGCCACTACAATATATAGACATAGAAAATCGATGCTAGAAACAGGGACTCGAACAGTTCACTTTAACCTCTTCCTCCTTGGCATGCTGGCTGTTTTAGAATTAGCCCTATTGGAAACATACATTGTTTCCTACAAATTCTCTGCCTAGATTTTAGTGGTCATAGTTTTGGGCCTTAGAACTTCTCAGAACCTTCTATAGTACTGAGAAATTTGTTTTTCTAATTTAAACACAATTTATTCATTGTCCTACCATGATCCTACCATAGTCTTTCCATAATGAAGTAGGAAAAATAAGAAGACAAAATTTTGGTGAAGGATGAGTAAAGATATCATGGATGTGGTTTCCTCTTTACAATAAAATTCTTTCTGTTTCTCACCCTTCCCAAACAATCTGATGTATGTTTTTACTATCGTCATCCATTGTCCTAGTTTGCCAGGCTGTCGATCACGATGAGCAATTATGAGGAGCAGGAAGACTCATTTTGGCTGATGGCCAGGTGGGCAGGTGGGAATGAGAGGTTTATTCACCTATAGGACAAAGTAAATTGGTGGAGAGGAAAACTGAGTTGCTGGGGGGAAAAAAAGACAGATGGATTAAAAGGCATTGTAATATGGGATGCTATAAAGAAAAAAGACTTGCAGAGAAATGTTTCTCACTTATTTGAATGTATATGTGTTTTGTCTCATGTTGATCAGTGGACTGATGCACAGCACAAGCAAAGGGCTGGCTAATTCACTGAGCAAATATTTACTGAGCACATGTTATGTAGGAGTCATGCTAGTCCTAAGGTTGTTAAGTTAAATAAGGCACACTGCTTGCCTGAAAACAGCTCAGATATAACTTTGATTTTTTCAGATTGAACCTTTTCATATAGACTTGATAAGTGAAACTGCTTAATTCAAAAGAAAAATTTTATATACATTAAGATTTTAAAATATATATTTAAAATTATATATACACATATATATGTATATTTTAAGATTTTGGAGTCAAATTTACCTGTGTTCAAATCCCACCTCTACCTCTTTCTGTCTAATTTTGGACAAGTTACTTTAATTCTCTGAATACTCTGATAACCTTCAATATTTTAAGACTGTATTTTCTCTCAACCAGGGGAAATATACCTTGTTTCAACAAGACAGATTACATGATATTTGGGAAAAGCTTGAGTAAGCTGTTAAGCACTGAATTGAATACGTGTACAATTCTGTTACTTGGCTGTTCCTCAAATCACGTAGTTTCCAAACCATGTATCTCTTCTCCCTTCTCTGTTTCAGCTACTTACTCAGCATCCTGATCAGAAAACGGTATTCTAGAAATATCCTGATCAGTAC